AAAATATATATATTTTTTAAAACTTTGAGTTTTATGTGAGTTGCGAATTGAAGTAAGTCTGAAAGCCTGGTTTTGTATCGTTTTTTTAGAAAATGTATACTTATTTTTTATTAGCGCCAGTAACAAATATAAACTAGCAGTTAAACGTTACACCTTTCGGGTATTAAATGGTTTATAACTTCGTTTTCGCATGTAATATCAATTTGAATATATTCGATCGTATATCTTAGCCAATAAAATATGCTTCATGTATTCGAGAGGTTTGTATTTATAAACTTCAAGGCAATTAAAGAAGGGGCTAAATATAAGTGTATTTTAGCACTCTGTATCAGCGGCTAAATGTAACACACCAATAACAAATCGTGAGGGACATTTATATCAAACCCAGAACAAACCACGCATCTTTCACCGCGTATATCGTGTGAGGATTTTTGCAACCTCTAACTATAAAAATATATATCCCAGATATTTTTTTCCAATATTAACGAACGTTTCATATCGCATCCTGCTTAAAAACAACAACAACAAAAAGAGATCATAATTACTTTATTATATGTCCTAATTATTCTCTGCGGGTATTGTGAAAGAGATTTGCATTGTGTAATAAATCTAGCTAACGTAGTTTATCACAACTTGAATTCTAAATACTGTCTTAGGGAAACTGTTATAGGGAAGGGTTTAATAACTTATTTGTGGGTTACATTACACGTCCTAAAAGAAAACGTACGACGCGGATAAACAAAGATTATTTAATATCGTAAAGAGGGCAACGACAAATTCATCTGTAAGTGTTTTTTAAATTAATTTTCAACTACTATTGTAAAAAAAAGATACCAAGATGCACTCGCAAAGCAAAAGTAGATAAAATATTACACCATTTTATCTCTCGCTTTTACTGAATAATAAGATTTGTCGTCTAACTGAGTGGTTCCTTCTATTTACATCTCCTATCTCCCGAGTTAGGTGCAATTTTTGGTTGTTTTTGTTGTGTTCATGGATTTGTTTGGTCTCAAGCAATAGTGACACACATGTGTTGTCTTTTATGCTTACAGGTCACGAAAATAATCGTTTAAATCAATTTGAATTCGAAACTTTAAAATCCATCGGATAGTTTTCACGTAGAAAGAATAATTAAGGGTTATTGCTGAGGTTTGTAGTGTTGTTACTGTATCACAATTGGAGAGATGACATGACACCTAGAATGGTTTATTTTCATATTTATTTATCTACGAATATGAAGATAGACAGACACAAATGAATAACGTTTTAATATGTATACCTTTCAAGCACAACGTATATATATGTGTATGTGTGTGTGTGTGTCTTTCCATCTATTTTTCTTTGTTGTTTTTTCGTATAATTTTGCTAGACTTCTGTATTTTTCTTTTCTCTAGTCAACTCAGAACATTAAGCCTTGAATTTTTTCAGCTGTTCTCCCGCCAAAGGTGTTAGAAGAAGTGGAAGAAACAAAATACAAAGACACTATTAAAAGGTACTGTGGATTTTCAAAAGATTACGAGTTAAAGGTTGACATGCGTACACTGCGCACCTACCTTTTTGTCACTATACTTTATACGTACTTTCACTTCGTGAACATTTTTTTCTTTGTTACTAACGTCACGAAACTATATTCAGTGTTTTAATGTTAGTCTAACTTCAGTTTATTTTAAAGAAGTACTTTGTGTAAATTCACAAAAAGAATAAAACATCAGCATAATAATGTGCACAGGATTAAATAATTAACAAAACAAACAAGTCTCGACTTGTATCAACGGGTCAAGCGCGTCATTTTGAAATGATGGAGAATAGATGTTCTCGGGTCACTGTGTACATAAATAGATACCTATGACCACAGTGCCTTGAACTTTCAGATTCAAACCGTCCACTAACGGCCCGGCATGGCCAGGTGGATAAGGCGCTCGACTCACAATCTGAGGGTCGCGGGTT